ACACACACACACACACATACATACATATATATTTCTAGATACAGTGACAGTTTTGCAGTCTGAAGGATAATTCTTTGTAACAAGGGATTTATGAAATGACAACATAAAACTGTATAAAGGCGATGCCCTCATGACAATTAGAAACACTTTCCAGCACACACAATGTGATATGCCTTATAAGTTTCCAGGGCTGGCTCCAGTATCATGTGTCTGACTCCTGTGTCTGCGTCCCGTCCTCACAGCACACACAGACCCCAATGGCCTATCGCCAAGGCAGATCAAAAGTGACAGCGATGACGACGACCTGCCAAACGTGACCTTGGACAGTGTTAATGAGACCGGCTCCACTGCACTGTCTATAGCCCGCGCTGTACAAGAGTGAGTATCATGATCTGTACGTGTGTGTGTGTGGGTGTGTATGTGGGTGGAGGTCTTCATGTGGACTTTTTCTCCTGTTATGACCCTAAAATCAAAAATCAAATACACACGTCTCTGTCTTCAGCTGTTATTTCTGTTCAGTGTTGTGACAGGAATGTTTCAGGCTTCGATGCTTACACTCTTCACTTTTGGCAGCTGTTGAATCTGTTGATCAGGAATTTTCAATTAGCTCCACTGTTAAAGTGTTTGTATTCAAAGTATTTACATCCTTCACTTCATTACACTCCTGAATCGTACACTGTTACATAAGTGTTATTTAAAATAAATGCCTCATAGCACCATGCAGTTTCTCACCAACAGAAAAAAGGAAAAGAGTAAAAGAGTATAAAATGTCATTGCATATATTAACAGTTTAGTACATCCGTCCATTTTGAGGGTTGAGTTGAACTGGTCCCAGCTGACATTGTGCATGAGGTAACAAAGCACATTTACTTAGTTACTGTACTCAAGTATTTTCCACATGTATCTTAACTTAAGATGATTCTTTTCAATTTTACTCCACATATATCAGCAAATATTTGTACTTTCTATTCCACTACATATATATACATTGCGGTTCACATTGTTTTTTATATTTTTGAAAGTAATCAGTGTTTAAATTATAGGGAAATTGGTTTGCTGATCCAATTAGAGCAGACAGGCCACCAGTCACTGGGCTGACAGACACAAACACCCATTCATGCTCACATCCACATTAAAGAAAATGAAATTTAAAGAGGACTTGACTCTTTGAGAAAGAGAAACAGAAACTGTTTGCTCAGATTGGTAAATTTAATTATACAAAATAGAATGGCATTGAGTAGAGAGCATTCCTCCACCAGGGCCCAACAGTCGAGCTGCACCAAATGCCACACTCTCATACATCAGTTCCCCAAATATGCCAGATTCAGACATTATTCCCTGGGGAGTTGGTGGAAATGAAAAGAAAAAAAAGTTGAAGAAAGTGATAAAAAAAGATCTGAATCCACAGCAAATTTTAATGTTTGCTTTCTTAAACATGTTCCCATCCTTCTCCCAAGTTTCATGAAAATGTATTTAGTGTTTTTTGCGTAATCCTGCTTATAAACAAACAGAAAAACAAACAGGGTTTAGAGTACCGATGTTTAACATGCTTTCCCTGACACCCATTGTCTGAAACTTGTGTAACACAGAGTTTTCTGAATTTCGTTGCGATATTCTAACTGCTCTTCCACTTTTCAATGTGTGTGCGTGGGTGGCTGTGCATTTGTACCACTGCATATGGCTCAGACATACTTTCTGCCGTGTTCGGCCTACAGACTATCACAGCTCCTGCGGTGCCCGTCCATCTGCGTTGAATGAAAAGGCTTCCCTCTTCGATGAATGACAGCTCACAGGATTCTGATCCAAAAGCAGGAAATCAGATGCAGAGAAACATTTGGCCCGGCCCTGCCCTCCTCCCCTGCCACCCATAAACCCAGAGCAGTCAGACCTAGTAGCCTGGCCAGACTCCCTTTAATACCCACAGGGACTTTTATTCAGGCTAACTGTGAGGAAAGTATTCCAGGACTCTGTGAGAATCCTGCTAATGATGCAGCAACATTAACGAGGCTGACGCTAAATAGTAGGCCAACCCCAGACTGGTTGTGTTTTGGTGCTAACACTCCAGCTTTGACATTGTGTGCAGGGCATTTTACATTCTTTGCCCGTGCACTGCCGGCCGTGTGAGGATCGACAGTTATGAAAGTTTTTGTGCAACACATTTAAAAACTATCTGGCTGTGGCTGCTCTGTGCAACAAGGAAGACTCACACAAATGCACATGCACAACCACACACAACTCTGAGACACTCACTGGAGGACTCTGGTTTCAGTGCAGGTTATTGAAAGGGACAGGCGTGCCCCTGAGTGCCACACGTGGGCACCGGGTGGTCAGAGGAGAACAGAGGTTGGCAGGACCCAACCTTTCAGTGCCCAAGCTTTCACTATGGAGATAAATCACCAGCCAGGCTTAGCAATGCCCTGCCAGGGCCTGCCCACACACTCGCTTCTCTGTGTGCAAAGTGCAGACTGTGCTGTGTGGAAAACTGTGCGCTCCTGTGTGCGTGCTGTGTGCGTGTCAGAAACTCTGTGTTCACGTCTTTAAGTATATAAATCCTCCGATGTGTGTGTGTTTGTACTCTATGCATGCACGTGTTCCTGCACAGTGGACAGAACAGCTGGTTCCAGAAGGAGGTCAGCCATTGTCAACAGGAACACAGACTTGGATGTTTGTCTGTGAAAAACAAAGAAGTCTGTAGTCTCCTTGAGTTACACGATGGGAGAACGTGCACTCGGTATTGACACAACACATGCGCTCTGTGGACATCTGCAGCGCAACAGAAGCGAGCAGCGCTTCTTTGAAACATATCACTCCATTGTGCTGCTATATTTCTTTTTTCCTTTTCATTTGCACATGCACAGAGAGCGTAGAAAGAACCACTTTATGTAATTTAGTGTCCATATTTACACGAGCAGTCATCCACAGAGCGTCAGGGAGGAGAAGTGTAAGGGCGGAGGATAGGAGTGCCTGCAGCCTCCAATCCAGGTATCCATATATAAATAAATGAGAGAGAGTGAGAGTGTGTGTGTCATGTGCTTCTTGGGCAGCCTCCTCCATATTCATGCGTTTCCCTGGGGACCAGTGGATAGGCTATTGTGGGAGAGCACAAGCGAAAGAGAGACAGTTACAGAGAGATGGGAGAGGGAAAGAAGATGTGTGTGTGTGTGTGTGTGTGTGTGTG